CACATGACGACAGCAAACACAATCCAAAACTGGAGTTCAGTGGCCCTGCAAGCTGGATGTTCCACGCTCCAACACGCGCAACCCCACATTCTTGCCATCGAGACGAGATTTAGTGCTTCAAACACGCCCGCTCGACTAGCGCTACTAGTGCCGAGGTCGTCGCCGCGCTTTGGCTGTCACCGACCTCCGAAACCAAAAAACTTGCGACAGAATTGAGTGTGGGATGGTCAAACAGTAATGTTGGAGACATCTCAAGCCCGGATGCTCAAGAAAGCTTCATCGTGAGCTCCGCAGTAGAAAGAGAATCCACACCGGCCGACATCAACGGGACATTTGAGTCCACGAGAGTACCCAAAACCTCCCAAACAATGGACCGTACCAGCGTGTGAGAGTCGTGACCAACGCCTGGTGTTCATGATGCCGCTGCTTACTGGCTGGAAGCAACATCATGTAATTTCCCGCCTTGGGGGCTGGATAGGCTCCTCGACAGGTATCTTCCAGATGGATTGACTCGGAATGGGGCTACGATAATTATGTAGTGCAGTGTGCGCGTCAAGCAGAGCATGGCTTTGAGCAGCAACGAGAACAAGTTCCTCCGCGAGTCTTTTCCTACTTGAAGCCGCGTTCCGCTAAATCACCCGTCCACTTGGGGCGCACCTAGCAAAGCTGAGCACGGTGGCGAGTATCCCGGGCCCTCTGGGTGAAGCTCGCTAATCGCGCAAGCGGCATTGGACATCCTTCACCTGCCAATAGCGGCTTATTTTGCACTCGTCTGCACTCAACCTAGCACACGGCAGCACCTTCCCCTCGAGTCCCGCCCAGGCAGCGCAGTAGCAAGCATGCTGTCTGACTGCAATCTCGATCATGGATCTCACCCGCTCCGGCAAGCATCGGGCTCTCTGGTGTTGAACATCGAGCCTGTGGAGACTCGCGAGTGATCAGCTTTGGTCAGAACCCAAACAAGCGCCGCCTTTGCACCGACCGACGCTCTCTAGGCCCATATCCCCGAGAGTTCCGTTGCTCTACACCTACTCCCGAACTCACAGAGGAGATGGAGTGAAGCCACCCTGGTAACGGTCACCAGTGCAGCTGAGCGATGATGACGCATCACCACAATAGAAGCATGGGTACTCGAGATTATCAAGGTATTATTTTATAACATGGTAGATCTTGTGGTTGGTTCAGAGAGAGCTGGAGAATAACGCCCTGCCCCCTGATTGCCAAGGAGACCAGATTACGAAGCGCGACAAAAAGACCCTGCCGTCCCAATCCCGCTTCGCAAGTTGCGTCATCGTGCACACGCAAGCGAACCGAGCATTCCGTGTGCGATGGTTCCACTGAAGCCGAATGAGCTCAGGCGTGAACATCATTGTTTTCCATGACCGTCTTTGGCTCACCCAACCAGTTCCACAGGCACCACAAAAGACGACGCAGCTACAGTCGAGGACAAGTGTGCGTTTAACCTGTGCGACTCTGATGGATCAGGACTCCACTGAAATGCAGCCAAGCGACCGTTTTAAGTGCGCGTTCGCAGTCACCCCCGACGTGCCGAGACATGTGAGCAATACAGAAGCCAGACCCGCCGCGGCTGCAGACGC